TTTTGTTCTCAAGTAGAAGCAAAATTTAGCAAATGGAGCTGTTCTTAAGTGGAATTGTTCTTAAGTAGGGACGTTCTTAAGTAGAGACCCCACTGTAATCTGGAAGTGACCGCACATAACAAGAGTTTCATTTGCTTCCAGGAGGGTTTGGCATCTTTGCTAGGAAGACAATGCTTGAGGTGGGGGTAGGGATGCTTATCTTTTCCCTCTTGAAAGGATTGGAACAAGAACGTCCCACCCTGCAATGCAGCTCAAACATGTAGATTAGACAAATGGAACTGCTGGGCTAAGGTGGTCTTATTTACACGAAGAGTTTCCATTGGCAGCAGTAAGAATTCTTTCTCTGAATATTCCAGTGATGTGAGGTGCAATGTTTATTCCAGTTTTCCAGGGAGGCAGGGGAAGGATAAGCTGCTTATCTGCACTTCCCCTTTTGCTACATACACCGGCAATAAATTATAGTAAAGAGAAGATAAGCTGCTACCTGTTGCTTAGTAAGGGAGTGAGGGCTGTTAAAGAGCAACACACTGACAACAAATGAAACCCACACATTGTATGGAGCCACCCAAAAGTAGAGCGGTATTAAAAACATGAAGTTGCCCCAATGTATGTCAACTTTCAGAGGCTCCAAAGTATTATTTTAAAAATTCCAAAATCTTTAGGGAAGGGGATTTTTTTTTTTTTTTGGCATGTTTCTACTTTTCATCTCAAGGTCAGTTCCCAATTTCTCCAGATAGGGTTGGAAAAACTCGGAACTGAAATAAGCTATTGCCAATCAATGTCATCTCTGAGCTGGAGCGGTAGGTAGCCCAAGGCTGCGCCTCAAGAGAAGACAGGTTCCAAATCTGTGCCCTTAAACCAGGGGTCTCCAAACTACGGCCCGCAGGCCACATCCAGCCCACCTTGCCTTTTTATCTGGCTCCGTGATTGTTGCAGGCGCAGGTCCACAAAACTCGGGTCTGTTCCCTTCAGTGTGGGCAAGTGGGCAGGCAGGACTGCGGGTGCACGAGAGTGTGTGTGTGTGTGTTCCTTCGGCCCTTGAAAATGTGGAAAAGATATGATGTGGCCCTCACACTGAAAAGTTTGGAGACACCCCCCCCCGCCTTAAACTTCAGCTTACTTAGCTTGCTCATAAAGCCGGTATTGCATGAAGGCAAACAAGATAAGGCCAATATGTAATCAAGAGCTAGGATTGTAAAACTAGAGTTGACCTTAAAAACATGAACAGTCAGAGGCTTTCAAGAGGTATCACCCCTTCTTTTCTTGGTTCTTCTTCATGCCTTTCTTGTACGCAAGCACAAGAAGCAGAAACAAAGCAGAGAGTTTTCCACAGGCTGTACCACTTGTAAGATTTTAATAAATAACATTACAATTATAATTATTACATGCCATCAAGTCAGTTGCAATTTATGGCAAACCTTTCCAATGTTTTATAGCTACTGAATACTCCAAAATGTTTACCATTCTCTTCTTCTAGGGTCCCTCTTGTGTAGCTTTCCCAAAGCTACACAAGTTGACGATTTCTCCCAGGCAGCATATTGGGGAATCAAACTCTCAACTTCTGGCTCGGTGGCTAGTGCCCAACCCCTTGAATTAGCCAGTCAGGGAAAGAACACTCCTTGCCTTGTTTATTATACACTTTCCTTATTCTTCCCTAGCTGGACCATCACCCTCATCAGGATCACAGAAATACAAGACTGCAGAGGTGAGGAAATTCTCCACAGCCACCAGGAAATCAACATATAACCCTTTTGGCCAGGCGAAGTAACCTGTATATCGATTTTGCCCAGATCTTTTACTACAGTCTGTTATATCAGCACGAGTAGCAAACAAATACTGACTTGGTCACAAGCTGAAGCTAGCAATTTATGCCAAGGTATATAGTCCTCAGGCAGTGACAGATTTTACTTTCTTGGGCTCCATGATCACTGGTGATAGCAACCACGAAATTAAAAGATGCCTGCTTCTTGGAAGGAGAATGATGACAAACCTAGATAACATCTTAAAAAGCAAAGACATCAACTTGCCGACAAAGGTCCGCATAGTCAAAGCTATGGTTTTTCCAGTACCGATGTATGGAAGTGAGAGCTGGACCATAAAGAAGGCTGACACTGAAGAATTGATGCTTCTGAATTGTGGCGCTGGAGGAGGCTCTTGAGAGTCCCCTGGACTGCAAGGAGAACAAACCTATCCATTCTGAAGGAAATCAACCCTGAGTGCTCACTGGAAGGACAGATCCTGAAACTGAGGCTCCAATGCTTTGGCCATCTCATGAGAAGAGAAGACTCATCGGAAAAGACCTAGATGTTGGGAAAGTGTGAAGGCAGGAGGAGAAGGGGACGACAGAGGACGAGATGGTTGGACAGTGTCATCAAAGCGACCAACATGAATTTGATCCAACTCAGGGAGGCAGTAGAAGACAGGAGGGCCTGGCTTGCTCTGGTCCATGGGGTCATGAAGAGTCGGACATGACTAAACGTCTAAACAATAACACATGAAGCCACCTCTAAGGCTTCCTGGTTCCTCTTGATCTTGGCAGGTTACAAATGCTTCCGGATCAAGACTCACAAGCAATAGTCTTGCTTTACAGTCTATGGAGGATTTTTTCTTCCCCCTTTATGCTAGTTGGTGCCATTTGTGCAGAATAAATGCAGATCTTATTGGGGTTTCTGTCCAGACATATTCTTAAAAACCCACTTCTTTCATCTTTGTCTACTAGCTTTCAAAAACCTATCTTCAAAAATAGTTCAACAGTATTTCAAAAACCTTGAAGAAATTCTTTAAAAATTATCTTCTCTACTGGATGGTTGGTTTTTGTTGTTCGCATTTAGTACTGTAGCATTAAATTTGAAAGCTCTCAATAGAAACCCTCGCCAGTGGCCATCTGATGCTAATTTACTTCAGAAATCAGCTACGTACCTTTAAAAACATTGATTTTATTAATGCTGAGGAAGCTCTTTAAAAATGATCTTATCTGTTGGAATTTTACTGTGCTTGTTTATTTTAGTAGATGATCAGTAATCTGAAAGCTTCTGCTGGGAGCCTGTGGCAGTAGGTATCTATTGTGAGCTCATCTTCAAAATTCAGTACCTTTAAAATCAACTTTTCTTAAATCTCGAGAAAATGTTTAAAAAATTAGAACACTGCATTTTCAGTGTTTGTTCATTTTGTTTTATAGTAGATTAGTGCTAAGGTGATATTTTCCAACTAGTAAAGCTCTTGTCACCTCATCTCTGGCTCTGGTAGAATGTGAAACACACACACGCACATGCACACGAGGTTGTATCTTGTCCTTTCCCCCTGCTGGTACTGATTTGTTCTTACCTGTATTGTATCATCTGGATGGTAAGCTTGCTTTATTCTCCCAGATCCCATTTGTATTCTCCTCCTGTCCCTTCATTATATCACATTTTTGTTCTCACAAGATGATTTCTACAAAATCTACCTCTTCAGAAACTTCAATGGATTTTGTTGTTGCTTTAATTGTATTTTCCCCATTGACTAAAGTGTGTTCAAGTGTATTTTTCTTAGCATTCTTAGCTCTCTTTTCTAAAGGGGTTCATGCATAGTCTGAAACAAACCATACACCTACAGATTATGGAGGTAAGGTATGGTTCATCCTGCCTGAAAGGTCAGGTATGAAGCAGATTCTTTCAAATCTGTCCCCAACCGAATTATTTTCTGTCCCTCTCTGTGTTTCACCTTCCATTCTGCTCAGCTTCCCTTTGGTCTTGCTCTGTCAGTGGGTTTGCTTATTGGTTGTTCAAGTCATATCCAACTTGCAAAGGCCCTACGAATGAATGACCTTTGGCTATTGCTTATAACATAGTGCAAAAGACAAAACCTCCTAATCAAAAAACCATTTCAAAATTCACAGAAGACTTTTGGAGACATCGGTGATACCGCAGGTGAAAAGGCAGGATGTAGATTCAATAAGTAATTTGCTGTCAGGCAAAAATAGTTTTGCATAGTTGATACTCACCGCTCTCGTTACGGAGAGGAATCTGTCATAGCTAATCAGCACGATGTTGAAAACCGAAGTGGTGCACAGCAGATAATCAACCACCAACCACAGCTTGCAAAAGCTTCTTCCAAAGGTCCATCTTCCAGTTAGTACATAGGGTACGTACAACGGAATACAAAAGGCACCTGCAAAGAGAAAGCTTGGTTTATGCTTTCAAGGGTTTGTTTGCTCCACTTCAGCAGCATAAAAGAGGACATAAAAGAGGACATCTCACGGCGTTTATCTCACACAAGATAACAAAGACTATCAGTCTCCTGCCTGCTATCCATCAAAAGCTTCACAACCCCATAAATTGCTAGAACACTATCAATGTCAAAAGAGAGGGATCAATCAGGGAATGTTCCCAATTGCTGAAACTGCTGGGGCCTGAGTGGAAGTTAATTTGCATAGCAAGGCAGGGGGCCTTTCGTTGGGTGTAAGAAAAGAAGCATCATTTAACTATTGGGAGCAGGAGATCTGGAAGAAGTAAAAGCAAAGGTTTGGTAAGAAATTTGAGATCTAAGGGAAAATATCACACACAGAACAGCTCAACAGCTGGTGAGACTTTTGGTAGTGTTAAAATAGAGCCTCCGAATCCCCCACCCCACCCCACCTCTGCTAGAAACGAAATACACACAAAAACCTGCCTGCAGATGTCTAGTTTCATGGAATTATGAGTGGAAGAAATTGTTGCATTGGAAGAAGTCAAAGACGGATGTGCCCAGTGATCGTCCTCACCAGTCTCCAATGGACTCCGCTTAGACTGAGCTATATAATGTTGTCTGCAGCATGTATCTTTTTCTCAGGGTTGCAAACAAATGGGGCATGATGGAGTTCAAAATAAGCTGACAGCATGTAGAAAGGAATACAGAAAACCATCTTTTATGAAATCGACCAACTCCACAGTCTTTCCACTGGCCGACAACTGCTTTCTAGGGATTCAGATGCTAGTCTTCCCTAGTACCATCTGACAATGGAAGGGATTAAAGCCGGGACGTCTGTGTGTGATGTACCAGATGCCTGAGAATAAGGCAAATGTATTTAAGTTAAAAAACAAACAAACAAACCTTGGGCTTTGCTCACAGGCTATATATAACCTTAGTTCAGATGTAGGCAAAGGCACAGACCCTATATGAAGTCCCACATCTCAAAAGATATATGAAGAACCACATCCCACTCAAAGTCTCAAAGATGCATGGCTTTCAATTTCAAGGCGATCCTCACCCACCCACATCATCCTATGTCTTCTTTTCACCCAAAGAGCAGGCATATATATGTGTATATGTGTATATATGTATATATGTATATGTATGTATGTGTGTATATATACAGACAGACAGACAGACAGACAGACAGACAGACAGATAGATAGATAGATAGATAGATAGATAGATAGATAGATAGATAGATAGATAGATAGATAGATAGATAGATAGATAGATAGATAGATAGATAGATAGATAGATAGATAGATAGATAGATAGAATCTGGGAAGTTGACAACAAATAAATCAAATGCAATAATAAAAAGATAAGAGTAAATAATAATAAAAAACTATGAACAGAATGATCAATAAAACAGCATGAAACAAGCACTAAGGGCAGCAGGGATAGTTGGCTGACAGGGCAAATGTGGCAAATCCTTAGAGGATGGCACTGAAAACTGAAAAAAAATAGAACAGAATTGATCAATAAAACAGCATGAAACAAGCACTAAGGGCAGCAGGGATAGTTGGCTGACAGGGCAAATTTGGCAAATCCTTAGAGGATGGCACTGAAAGCTGAAAAAAAAACAGAATAGAATAGAATGTTAGGGAAAGATTGTTATCTCAAAAAGAGAAAAAGGAGAAGGCTGAAGATACACTCATTCTAAGCCATTGATTGCAAATCAATAGATAATAAGCAACAAAGAGTTAGTGGAGCAGCTAAGGGACAGCTGAACAGACTATGAACATCCCAAGTCATATTTATGAAACGATTGGTACACAGCTGATTGCATCAAACAATCAATCATCAATCACATTGTGATCCAATAAGACATGAAGAGCAAAACATTGTTCTTTGAAATATCCCAATCTTTCTGTCCTTTGATGGAGTCAGACAGGGTTGCTCTGGATTTGTTTGGGTTTTTTTTCCCCTTCTCCCTCCCTCTTTTAAACATGAATCATGTCAGAGGTACTTTTAAATGATTATTCATTTCATTTCTTCAAGATATATGATCTCTTGGCAACTCCAAATAATATTCTAGAGGTTTTACACATTTATTTATTTATTTATTTTATTTATATCCTGCCTATCTAGTCAACTCAGGACTACTCTAGGCGGCTATCTCAGCAGGCATTAAGCAGGTATCATCCAACATGACCATATCCTTCAGTGAAGGGTATCTAAGATTAGGGACTCCACTCCAGGTAAAGTTTGTCCCAAGTATGAGATTTATCTTACACTTGCTTTAATATCTTTTTGTGTGAGGTAACTAATTTTTCATTTTCCAGGCTTTAAAAGGGTATTTTAAATACATCCCTATGTTTTCTAAATTATAAACTCCTTGAAAAGCATGGATGTTATCTGAATCTCTGCATCCTCTTATGGCGTTTTGTTGAGTTTTAGCTCCATGTGGACATGATACTCAGTATTGTATTATTGTACTTTGGCCAAATTGTGTAAAAAAATCATTCCCCCCGCCCCCAGTATGATCTGATCTCATCTGGTTGTTTTTATTACAGTTGTGGTGCTGTTTGGTCTGATTTACTTTTCTTTTCCCTGAAGTCCAGATAATTGCTGTTATGACATATGCATTAAAGAAAATGAACATTCAATATGCATACGTTCCATTGATTTCACTAAGATTTACAGTGCAACTTTATGCATGCTCATTCACAAGCCCGTCCTACTGTATTTAAAGGGTTTTGCTCCAGAATAAATTAGCATAGATTTGGGGCTTTCGTCACACAGTTAAGCAGTTGAAATGGTCTGAAGGCTTCCTCAATAAAGTACCTATATACACCGATAAACTTCAGCTTGTAACTCATACTTAAGAACAAAGAACGTAAGTTTTTGGCTCCAATTTTTAAAGAATATTTGAGGCACAGCTAAGGAGCTGCTGTAGGAACAGATCGAGGAATATATGGTTGAGATGATGTAATTTCTAAATGGTATCCCTAGAGATCTCATGACAACAGAAACTGTTTTCACCTGAAGCAGAGGGGTGTGACAGAGGAGGATCAATTATCGAGCAAATGTTTTCAGGCTTTCATTTCATGCAAGAAACTACGTGTTACTGAATATCTGTAGTATTGAAGACCGCTGCTCTTGGTTAATGTGCACCTCAAGAAAGAGAGAAGAACTTAAAACTGGTATAAAATGTATTACCGATGGTATATAACCCCAAAAGACATTTTAAAAATGGACAGAAGTTATTCAGGTCTCTGTTGGAAGTGCCAAGAAACTGAACGTTTGTATTACCACATGGGGTGGACCTGTTAAAAGACAAAGAAATTCTGGGAAGACATACATTCGAAAAAAGCAAAAAAGGCTCTGAAAGCTGAATTTGAAATGATACCAGAGACCATGCTCTTGCAATAACACCAAGCAATTTGGAAAAATCTTCACAAGAACTCTTAAATTATATGTTGACAACAGTGAGGGTAGTGATGGCAACAAAGTGGGAAGTGGAGACATGGCCAGTAACAGAAGACTGGAGAGAGAAAACGCCTGAATGTGCCACAATGGCAAAACTCACAAATTATGGAAACAGGAGATCAGCTAGAGAATTTAAAAAAAGAAAAAGGGAAAACTGTACATGGAATGTATAAATAATTTTTTCTGTAGTTTTTTTCTTCCATATTTCCATATATTGAAAAATAAATAAAAGAGATGCATAAGAATCATTTTAGTAGAACTTTTTGTCCTTCTTTCCTTCAGAAGAGCCCAGCTGGTTCACATGCAGACAACAGCTCTTCTAGTATGTTGCTTCCAGGAGCAACTAGTTCTGTGCTTCCAAAAAGTCCAGAAGCAGATGGACATTGCATCTAAGCATCATGATAAAGCAATGCATCTGGGACATCGTTGCTTAGAAAGATCTTTCTTTGCAATTCATTTAAAAGGCATCCAAAAAGGACAGTCCCTATGGTCCTATACCAAAGAAACTCTAAACGGAATGAAGGCTGTAGCAGTTCACGTAAGTGAAAGCATTCCTTAACCAATTGCTGGATCCAAGCTTATTAAGGCAGAAATCTGAAAGCTTCTCCTAGTTGGTGCATTCCTCAAAGGAATGAATGAGTGAGTTCTTGTGTTTCCTGGCCCAATTTAAATGCTTTCCACCTGTTTCCTCTGACACCTTTATAGTGATTGTGCCAAAGAAAAAGAAGAGTACATAGTAACAGCCAACTGCAGTGAGCACAGGCAGCCTTCCTGCAGCCTTCCCCAAATGTCTACTACACCCACATTTCATACCACCTGCAGACTCTACCCACAGAAAAACAATATCTGATTCTGCTACAGCAGAACACAAACCCTTCCAATTAGCAGAGAAGATGTGCAACAGATAACAAACTACAGACAACCACTTAAGAAAAAATCACTGTCTCTCTTGAGCACAGGGATTATCTTTAGATTCGAGAACACTTTGGCAATAACAGTAAGGAGAATGTCATAAATAAAGCCACCTTATATAACTCAAAAGAGACTTACCAAATTCACAGCGGGGAATTCTATATAGCCGAAAGCAGCAAGAAATAAGGTAGCCTTCTCTTCCCCTAACCTTTCCCTTCACCCACTCACTGCTCCCAATTCACTGTGATTGATCAAGACCATGACATATGCTTGACAGACGCCAAGAGAGGGAGAAAAGACACAGGATGTGGGGAGACAATGAGAAGGAGAAGCTGCCACAGGCTTACCTTTTGGTCACCTTGGGAGATAGAAAGGAATAAAGATACATAACATTCTCTGGCTTTGCATCTGGAAATCTCTGAGTCAGACCATCCACCCATTTCGATGGTACTTGCACTTTGAACTAGTTTGTAGTGAGCCTCCAGGGTCTCCAGGAGGGATTTCATCCATTCCCCCCCCCCTTAAAATCTCACTCTCCAGAAGGCAGCAAAGATTCAGGGACAGGCAAAACCGTTTTGCTGCCTGAAGCTAAG